GGGGCCATTAGCACAGTGATGGGGTACCATGCATTCATCAGGTGGAAGCCAGGTCCCAACACCTGTTTGGTGGACCACACATGATGTATAACCCAGGTACAGAGGGTCCTACTCAGTAAGAGCCACAGGGACCTGGAAACATCATGGTGACCCTATAGTGTTCAGACCTCTGTCCTAATCACTGGCTGCTAGAACCAGCCTTGTCATATGTCCAGTCCCCTGGCTCCTGGATCCTATGGCCATATACCTGTAGATATCAGGTTTGCTATATGTCTCTGGGACTCTGACAACTCCAGGACCTCAACAAGTGGGGTAGCAGAGTTTTTCTCCTTCCTGTCTGGCTTGTTTCTCAGAGTGTAATGTCTTCATTGTCCCTACAAGTCATAGCATTATCAGGGCTTTTTTTCGTCTGCAGACAACATCTATTCCTTTTTGCTAAGGCCGTATTCCTACCCAAGGCAATCATGACTGGCTACCTGGGGTCTCTGTGCCTTCTATGAGGCCCCTATCTCTGTACCTCACTCTTTCCCACTGTCATTTGGAGATAGGCCAAAACCCCGCTCTCTGTGGTCAGAGAACACATAACCTGTGTCCTGCTATGACTTGAAATTTGTGCCCTACCTGTGACCATGCACTTGCCTGGCATCTTCTTATTCTTGTGTTTTATGACACATCTATTACCATCTCCAGAGGGCTGTGGTCATGGTATTCTTGTATTCTAAAGAAGGAAATGAGTACCACAGAGGCACCTTGCGAAACCACCAGCATGTGTCATATAACTGAGAGTCATCCTGTCTCAGGACGGGGAGAATCGGGCTGACAGCTAGGAGAGGATAGAGCAGGCGGAGACTGACTTTCTTCAGCAGTTCATTTAGGATCTGCCTAGCCCTGCTTCCCTGCTGCCTACAAGTCTGGGTCTTAGGACAGGCAAGCAATGCTCTGAGCAGAGGGGTCAGCCATTTGGAAGTGGAGTTGGGATGTCTGTGGAGTGTGTTCCATTACATATTACTCTTTTCCATTGAAAGTCCATTTGGTAGTCAGAGAAATGGATGGAATCCAGAGCCTAGCTGCCATCTTAGACATGCTTTGCCAGGACACTGAGGGGCCTGAGGGAGGCCTGTATCTGCCGGTCTCACTACTCAGAAATGACATGGTAAGCTCAGGTTCCCTGCGCCTCTCCCTGAAGCTTTCTGTGTCTCCCTCTTCTAGGAGGCTCATAACCGAATCTCCAGCCACATCCCTTTAATCATCCAGTATTTCATCCTGAAGATGTTTGCTGAGCATCTGCATAAGAGCATGCTTCAGCTCCTGCATGAGAAAGATTCCTGTAGCTGGCTCCTGAAGGAACACAGTGATACCAGTGAGAAGAGGAAATTCCTGAAAGAGCGGCTAGCAAGGCTGTCCCAGGCTCGCCGCCGACTAGCCAAATTTCCTGGTTAGTCTGGCTCTGTCCTTCCCTGTGTCTCCTGGACACTGATTCCGGGACAGAAGAGCTTCTGCCTTTCTTTAATCCCCTGGCCTGGTATTGGTGTAGCAGTCAGATGGAAAGGGGAGCTCTCTACTCACTCTGAGATGAGGAAGAGGCTCTCCAAACATAGGAATTAGAAGGGTAGAGGATGCCATTTTTCTCACAAGATAATGGCTTCCCCCTCAGTATCTTTTCTACCTTGCCCTCTACCTTTTCAGAACCCTGCTTTTGTATATCCTCCCAGGAACAAGTATCTGATGAACAAATGGGCCATGGTTTTGAGAGCTGCATCACTAATAAACTGCTTTTCTCTGACTCATGTTGAATTGGAGGAATTAGTGGTGGTAGTTTTGAAGGTTAGAAGATACACAGAGTAGGTCCTGTTTGGGAGGGCACAGGGTGGCTAGTTAACTCTGCCCAGCTCCCACCTGGGAGCTGTGGCTATGCAGCTGGCCTCAAGGCACCCCCTCTGCATCCTTCCATCCCCCTCCACCCCCAATCCTCACCCCGAAGCAGGCAGTTCTTGAGGTCGTCAGTTTTTCTGGATGTCTATAAAAAGAAGCCTTTGCATACAAGAAGGATGCTAGGTAGACAATGGCCACTGCCTATGTATAATTCCCTAGCCTGGGCTTGGTGACAACAATAGTCCTTCCTAGTGCTGGTTGACTGCTTGCCATTCTCATGGTCATTGGAGCTCCCAGAGACTGACTATGAACTGGAGCTTGAAGTACCTGAGCCTCTCTCATCAACAGAGGATTCTGGGAGATTAAGGTGGGCAGGATGTGTAAACTCTCACTCAAGCCAACAGACGTGACCTCTGTCTCCTGAGAGCCTGGTACCTGAGGAGTTTTCCATGCCCAAGCCCAGAGGGGTAATATAGAGGGGCATTAGTTTCTGATGGACCAGAAATAGAGGCATCCAAATATCAGGTGGACCTTGCCAGGCTGTACTGGTTTCCTGGATATAGAGAGAGGGTGAGGGGACCAGGTGAGAGTCTGTACTATAAAGAAGGAAGCTTATGGGGAGGTAGCCTGCTGGGTGTGGTTCTCCCAGAGGGCCAGCAGGATGTTCCTTATGGGCCATAAAGAACAAGTGTCTGGACTCTATCTCCATGATCAGAACCCAGAGTGAGGCCCATGGGATCTCTCTACAAGATTCTAGCAGCGGGAGAGGCTAGGCTCAGGCCAAAGCTCATCAGTGCCTCCAGGATGACAATCATGCCCAAGCTATTGTCACTTGTTGTGTACCACCTGCCTGACATGGTGCTAGAACTTGTAGTTTATCTTCTCCTGGACCCTCAATCCAGGAAGGAAGAAGCAGCTAATGGGAACATGTTAGGGAAGGTTCGTTCAGGCTGAGCTATGAGGCTGATGGATGTGGCTTCAGTGATGAGGGATCTACAGGGTATATTAAATATAGTGATTAGGGACAGAGATGGCACTCACTCCATTGGTAGAGTGCTTACTAACACCCAGGAAGCTCTGGGTTCCACCCCCAGTACCACATAAAACCAGGTGTGGTGATACATGACTGTGATTCTAGCACTCTGGATATAGGAGAAAGGACAAGGTCCTCTATCCACATATCTACATATCTACATATCTATCTATCTATCTATCTATCTATCTATATCTAATTATCTACCTCCTGACCTACCTATGTAGTCTGAGGCTATCCTGGAATACAGAAGGTAAGACAAGAGAGAATGGTATCACAGCAGAAACACACGACTGCTAAGAACCCAAGCAGAGTGACTTTTAGCTGTTTTGTAGATCACATCCACCCTTCTCCTGTCCATAGTTCCATCTGCAGGGAAGAGGAGTGAACATTGTCAACATGAACCATCTGCAACTTTGGGAAGAAGCCACAGGATGCAGATGCTGAATTCAGTGTAGGCCAGGGTTGCCTGAGGATGTGGGAACCTGGAGCTAAGCACCTCCACATGACAGCTGACATAAATAATCTTTACCAGGTGCCTGATCTGCCCCTTTCCAAGGCCAAGGGGCTGTGAGCAAGGAATGAGGGTGAAGTGGTGGTGATAGTGATGCTTGGAGTTTGACTTTGGGGGCTGTGTTCAGGTCAGCAGAGGCAGCTGAAGCCAGAGAATAAGGAGCCAGATTAGAACAAACTGCCAGCCTGTTAGTGGTAGTGCACACCTTAAGTTCCATCATTTAGGGAGGCAGAGGCAGGTGGATCGCTGTGAGTTCAAGGCCAGACTGGTCTACAAAACAAGTCCAGTGCAGCCTGGGATACACAGAAAAACCTTGTCAAAAGAGAGAGAGAGAAAGAAAGAGGGAAAAAGAGAAAGAGAGAAGAGAGAGAGAGAGAGAAAGAAAGAGAGAAAGAAGAAGGCAGAGGACAAGCAGAACAATGCATTAAGGGGCTGAGAGAAGCCAGGTTGAATCAGGAAAGAACCCAACTGCACTGCACCCCCTGCGCTGACTCCCAACTGACTTTCCCTGCGCTGCTCTTAAAGAGCTTCTCTTTCCTGTGCTGTTCTTGTGAGAGTTGGGCATATCCTATCTCTGACCCATTCTGTCAAATTCTTCTCTGATTCATCACTTTGTTTGTCCCCCAATTAGAGGTAACTTTCAAGCATGGTTGTTTTCTTCTACTTTCTTAAAGATTTGTACTAAGATTGTGTCTGTATTCCAGCCAGAGAGATTAAATGTGTGTGGCATGCCTGCATTCCAACCAGATCACACAGACCTAGGCCTCTGGATGTGATCCCTTGCCAGAGCAGCCATGTTCATGGATTACAATTCCTCTATAGTGCTAGGCTAGAGCTCAGATACCATCTCTCTCCAACCCAGCAGCAACACTACCACCCTTCCCAAACTAGGAACTGTAGCTTGGCCCTGCCCCTCGGGCACAACTACAGAGCAAATGAATAAAGAAAAAAATTATATACTTTATTCATATATTTCACAGTGGAATCTCACAGTTCAGACACAAAGCAGGAAAAAAAACAAACAATAGCACAGACAGGAGAGCTGAGGAGAGGACATATTCTCACACCTCAAGGTGCTTGCACATTTACTCTGAAAGTAGGTACCATACAGCATTGCATCTGAGAAGGTCCCTAGGGTGCTGCTCCCAGAGGAAGCATGAGGGAATTTTCCACAAATGGAATGGCAACCCCTCCCTGAGTAGGAGACCCTCCCCAGTAAAGATAGAGTCTCAGCCATGACCCATCCACTGCCTTCTGGAGAACCAGACAGAGGGAAGGAGGCAGAGCATCACCATAGGTAAGACATTCATTCTTCATATTTGGTAATTCTGGCATGGTATACCCAGGGCTAGAAGAGGACAGAGAACAATGACCTCTTCTTTTTCATCTTTGCCCCAAGCTGGGAAATTGTAGCCTCATCCCCAGTTGACAGAGCAACCTAACCATCTGGAGGAGGTCTAATGTCTGAGGCACAATCACACAGTCCAAATGAAGGTGAGCTCTGAATTCCAGACATTCATCCAGGCTAGGGCTCCAGGTTCAGTGAGGTAGTAAGAGAAGAAACATGACCCAGAAGCAAGGTGACTGGAATCAGTGCCCCTGATTCTGACGGACTCAGCCTCTAGATGTCTAACCAAAAAAATGCAGGCTCCATCAGGTACCAGGCTTTTCCTGTTGCTAAGGCTAAGAAGTAAGTTTCAGGCTCTGAGAGGCTGAGAGAAACAGTAGTGGGGAGCCAAAACACAGAATTAACCACACTGTGTAGAGCTCACCCAAGAGACAGGTAGCCAAGAACATGCCATCATTAGCTTCTTGCTCTGAGGGTTCCGCTTAGGCCCTCAGCCTGGCAAAGGCTCTGTCACCCTTGGAAGAGGGTGTCATGAAAACATGCAGGAGAGCAAGCCCTTTACTCCTAGCCATGTTCACCCAGGCTGTTAATGAAATCATCATAGCATGACCAGCCCAAACTGCACAGGAGATCTGGGCCACAGGCTAGGGAGAGGTAGCTCTCTCTCAGGGTGTCTGTCCCTGGGCCCCTGGCCTCCCTACTCTTTCTCAGGCCATCAGGCTACTCAGAGGTCACAGTCCTTACTCATCCAAAAGAGGCCTGAGCATGAGCCAAAAAGGAATCCTACGAGAGTGCCACTCTCTTCTGCACTTGGCCCTGTGTGCCCAAAGCCATTGGTATCCAGACTGATGGGAGCTGCAGAAGTGGCCTGGGGGTGGGGCGCTGAAGCCCGCACAGGATCAGCGAGCACAGAGAGTCACTGTTTAATAAAAGTGAAAGGCCCTTTGAATCATCTCAAAAGGTACATTGTTCAGGGAGTTAAAAATCAGCCCCTTGGTTTTCTTGCAGAAGGATGTCGAAGACGAAGGCAGTCAGGGACAAAGGCCACGTGGATTAGCTGTTCGCCTGTGCAAACAGGAAGAAGAGAGGAGGTTACTCACCTAAGACAGACGAAGCTGTATTTCCCCCTGACAGTGTGAGAGATCCAGAGTCTGAGCACTGGCCTTACAGACTTCTGCAGCTGAGCTCAGGCCACAGGTGCAGAAGCACATGGGCCTCTGTCCAGAAGCCTCGATTGGCTCAGACCACGACCTACCTCAAGATGTCCCTCATGAGGTGCTCCATTCTTACCTGTGGTATCCCCAACCCATTCAGCACTCTCCTTCCTCAAGTTCATGCTGAGCAGCCTTCAGGCTTAATTGCTCAGACCCCTCCATTCTGCCACTCCCTCCAGCCTCTTCTTTGTACCCCTCAGCATAGTCTGGCTATGTGTTCTCAACTCTTCCTCTGCCAGGAGAGGACTTCCCTTCAAGAGGGGACATACTCTTTCTCTAGGAACCCCTCCTAACGAGTCCATTTCTAAGCAGACCATCTTTCCCATCACTGAGATGGAAGAGGCTGGAGCTCCAAAAGATTGTTTTGCTGAACTAGGAGAGTAGGACCACAGGAACTCCTGGGCTTGTTCTTGCTACGCAACCTCCCCTGGACCCGGGCTGGGTCTCTCCCCCTCTGAACATGAACACAATGCCCCTCAAGAAACCTGTTTGAGGAAGACTGCCATTCTGACTCTTCCTCACCTAAGTATGCAAGTGAGTAAAGGCTGGTTGGGTGCCTGGCTCTGCTGACCCCGCGCTAAAATGTGGAGCCAAGATTGTTCTCTGAGTTCAGCTCTGCCATCAGCACTAGAAGGAAGGCCAATGAGTACCCCTCCCCACATGTATGCAGGCACCATAGGCTCAGGAGAGCATACAGAGGGGTTGGAAATTCCAAGGGATGGGGGCATCTGGAACAGAGGGGTGAAAGGTGCTCCAGGAGCAGCTCAGGCCATGGAAGTGTCTGCTTCCTGCCAGGATGCACCACTCCCAGAGCTGTGACTTGAATTCAAGGAAATGGACAGCCCAGGAGTTGAGGAAGTTACCCTCATTTGTTGATAGATCCAGTCTGTAAATACTGTCACATTCCCGTATACTCCAGGTCTGTATGCCTTGGCACATCCTGAGCCCCAGCTTGTGTCACCAATCAGCCACCAGATGCCATTCTTCAAAGTAACCAGCGGCCCTCCACTGTCTCCCTGGGGAACACAGCAAGTTACTGAGAAGAAAAACACACCAAAATACACTGGCCACCATGAACTATGCAGAAAGGACACAGAGTCTCTGGACATGAGAGGGGGTATAGGTCTGTCTCCCCAGCAGAAGTCAATGGTCACAGAGACATAATCCAAAAGATGACACTGGCCCATGCCAGCTAGCTGTTAGCAAATGCTTGGCAGAACACACCTCAACTACACCAACACTTGCCAAATAAACACTTCTCTGGAGAACATAGTGTGTGCAGCACTGGCTTCTGCCAGAGGGGCCACCCCTCCCCACAGCTGTTCCCAGCTGGCCCTCTGTCCCTGGGAGATATCTCTGATCCCAGCACTCAAAGGTTGAATAAAAATTCACAATTACCTGACAAGAGTCGACAGAGCCCTGCAGGAAGCCGGCACAGATCATGGCTGGTGTGATAAGATTGTTGTATACGTATTTACTATTACATTTGGAGGGTTCGATCAAGGGTACCATGGCAGCATTCAGCACGTCCGAGGTCTTTCCTAACAACAGAGGCATCAGCCAGCAGCTCTTTGGGCATCTTCCTCAAGAAGCCAGCACTCCATGGAGATGATCACACACCCTCTCCCTCCTCCCTCCCTGTAAAGGTTAACACTGACTGACAGGATCTAGAATCTTCTAGGAGACAAACCTCTGAGCATGACTCTGAGGGAACAGCTAGAGTGGGCAAACTGAGGAGGGAGAATGCTCTAAGGAAGTGTGGCACCATTCCACGGGTGGGTCTCAGGCTGAGTGAGCTTGAGTCTCAGCATTCACCTCTCTGCACCTTCACTATGTATGCGTGACCAGCCATCTTCTGCTCCTGATGCCATGCCCTTCCCACACTGATGGACTCCACCTTCAAACTGTGAATACTCAGTATTTCTTCCCTTGAGTTACTTGTGTCAAGAATTTTGTCACAGGAATGAGATAACTAGTATATTCTCTTAGTCCACCACAATACCAAGCCCTCTTTCTATGTGCTAGGTAGGGCTAATTTGATGTTTTCTGTTACTCAAATGAGAAAAGCAAGGTACATAGCTTAGGTACATTGTCGAAAGTCACTGAAAAACTGAATTGGGATCCAAATGAAGAGGTCCTACTGTGGAATCAATGCCCCATCCTGTGCACCCCGAAGCCTCACCTTTTTCATAGGTCGCCCCCCACCCTGAAATCCAGCACTCCTGGGCTAGGTCCAACATCATTCCTGGGTTTGGCAGACACACTGGCTTCACCACATCTGTTTAAATAGCAAAGGGTGAGTTATCCAGGCCTAGAGGGCCTCTGTGAGAGTCTCTCCTGGTTGTCCCATGCAATTCCCCTGCCCAGACAGCTAGACCTGGACCTCTCCTTCACACCCTGGAAGGCCTACTTCTTGATAAGTAAGGCAGATCCTCATTTGCTACTCATATCTGAAATTAAGCATTACAGCACAGCACACAGGCCTCCAGGTGACAGAGAATAGAGAGGACTTGTGATCACTGAAGCTGACAGCTTCAGCTTGTCCCAAAGCCACACCATCTCAAAGAGCTGCCATTTTGTGTGTGAGTTGCTCCCCAGCTTGAATATAAGCAGTTCAGGAGAGAGGAAATCTGTTATCACTTGTAGATTCTAGAATATTCTGTGTTATTGCATGGATTAGGAAGAGGGTAATCAGAAGCTAAGGAAGGGACTTACATACACAAAGGCCTGGATTCTATCTCTCAAAAAACCAGACATTATAGGCATGGTGGCACATGCCTATAATCCCAGAGCTCATGAGGTGGAAGCAGGAGGATCAGAAACTCGAGATCGTACATGGCTACATAGAATGACCAACCCAAGCTACAGAGCCCATTCTCTCTCTCCCCAAAATCAAAATGCATTGTATACATTATCAAAATCTCAAAAAAATGAATTCTAAAGTATATTTTTAAAAAAGAAAATAGTTTGAAAACAGACTATTCTTTAATGGAAGAATTTATTAACGTTCTTTTTAAAATATACTATTACCATTTGAGTGATTCCTATATCCTTATAAAATATTGGAGGAAACACATTTTAAAAAGCTATGAGTCTACATTTTAATTTTAAAGTATCTTGCTTTTAGAACATATTTGTTGAAAAGAAAAACAGTTGTCTTGGGAGGGATGGCTTAGTGGTTAGGAGCACTGGCTGCTCTTCCAGAGGACCCATGTTTGAGTCTAGCACTCACATGGTGGCTTACAACTGTGCCAGGCAATGTGGCACCTTCTTCTGACTCCTGTGGCCACCAGTCGCACAAGTAGTGCACAGACATACTTGTGAGCAAAACACCCATACACATGAAAGTTTAAAAATAACTTAAACATTGTCAAAAGCAGTCATCTTTACAAATTATCAACCAGATGGCCTCACCCCACAGGAACACTAAGCCAATCTTTGAAGCCAACTCCGACAAGCGCAACTAGGAAGTGCTACTGCCCTCTAGTGGGCTGGGGCTCACATACCATTAAACGCCAGAGGCGTCTGCAGCTTCAAGAGAGCGATGTCATTATTCTTGGTCTTAGAGTCGTAATCTGGATGGGAAATCACTTTTTCTACCTGGTGTCTACTTCCATAGAACATGAGAGTCTGTCTTAAAATTCCCACGAATGCTGTCCAGTACCTTGGGCTGCTGAGGGGTCTGAAAGACAGAGGGACAGCACCTGGAAACCGGGACCACCGCTAAGAGGTGGTCCCTTCAATCTTTCAGACACTTGTGCTGAATCTGGGGCGGAGGGTAACATGACCACCCCAAGCCACAGACTGAGACTGCGCAGGAGGCTTCCCTCCCACCTTCCCACAGCCCCCTGATGCTCATTAGCTCCCTGAAGGCTCTGTTCCTTCTCCTGTCTTCTGTACCAGCCCACAAGTAGGGCTGGCACCCTTCTGTGAGACTTAAAATCATATTTCTGACAAGACTGGGTCTCAGTAATCTTAACATGCCAGAGCATTTACCGAGACACAGTGAGGGCTTAATAACTGTGCACCAGTGAACTTGGAGTCTAATACCAGTCCTGTTCTTCTTTCATCTGGGGTTTTCTTTGGGATTTTAGGAAAATTTCAGCTACCAGAGGGATCTCAGAATCTGGGATATAAGAGGAAGGAAAGAACACTCCCAGGTAAGATGGCTTCCCTAACTTCCTAGCAGTGCTGGAAGGAGGGGGAGGAGAAGGAGGAGGAGGGGGGCACTCCTATGTGGTGCACCAGGCTGAGAGACACTGAGTCACCTGTCCAAGGCCACACAGCCAGAGAATGGCTGGGCCAGGAGCTGAGCCAGGCTGAGCCTCACTTAAGACAACAAGTGCCCCAAATCTGGCTAATAAAGAAGGTGTGATATGGAAATGTGGTACACCCCTGTACTCCGGAGCTGAGGTCAGCTGAGCCACAGAACAGAACCTTTGCGAAGGAAGGGAAGAAAGGAAAGAGGTGGAAGAGAGAGAGGGAGACGGATGGATAGAAGAAAAGAAGAGAGGGAGTGATGGAAGGGGGAAGGAGGAATGGCAGGAGGGAGGGGGAAGCATAAGGGAGGGAGGGAAGGAGAAAGGGAGGAAATGAGGGAGGAAGGAAGGGAGAAGGAAAATCAGAATGGGAACAGTGTTTTCCAAAAGAGCTGATACTACACAGTATGGCTGTCCTCACCCTTCTTGCCCATCTGTAAGAGCAATACCAAAACTGAGGGTGTCTATACAGAGAACCTACTAGGGCAGTGTGAGGTTGTCAAAGTGGGCTATGCCCTGAGATAAGCATCCAGGAGAAATAAGACTGATAGAGCAGTCTGTCAGAACTTGTAGACAGAGTAAGAAGACAGCAGCTGGAGCACATCCAGTCACAGTGCTGTTGATAATCATCCCTATGCCAGGCTGGGATGCAGCAGCAAGCAGGAAAGACCATGGGCACATTTGTCTGATATCGGGTGAGGCTGTGCACCTGCAGGGCATACGTCCCCCACCCAGCAGCAGTCACCCCATTACACATTGGGCATAGGCGCTTCCACACAGCTTGGCATGGGTTACACGGTGGTGGAGCCATACTGCAAACCCAGAGTCTGGGCCTTATGACTCCACCTTATTATCCCAGACCTCATAGGAGGACATACTCTTCCACACAGTGGGCAGCTGTCACAATCCACTCAGGGGTGATGATGGAGCCTCCGCAGACATGGACTCCTTCAACGTGCAGGCTGACCTGCCAGGGCCAGTCTCCAGGTGATGCAATGGATCCACCCACAATCCTGCTCTGACGTCTCACTGAGCGAATCCCACAATCTGAGGGTGACAAGCACATGTCGGGTTACAGCCAACAGAGCAGAAAACACCAGGACTAGCACAAAGCCAACCATATGTGCTCTGCTCAGCAGTCTTTCTCTGGCCTCACCAAGTAGTGGGGCATTGGAAGGTGATGCTTGCTGCTTCTCTTTCCCTATTATTGGGATTCTGAATAAGCAAGTGGCGGCTAGATGCTCTCCTAGGTTCCCAAGGGCCACTCCTTCCCTGGCTCGACCACAGGCTAATTCTTACTGCAACCTGAGCTCATCAGATCTCTGGCAGGATTGGGAAGGTCCCGGGTAACAGGTTTCTCAAAGAGATTGATATACTCAGCCTCCCATCCCCAGACTTCTGAGCAAAGAAGAGAGAGGTAGATGAAGCTGAGAGTGGGTGAAGAGGACAGTGAGGACTTCAGTGGTGGTAAAAAGGTGAGATGAGAGGAGGTGAGGTCATGTGTGAGGTAAGTGAGGAGGTGGGGCCTGAGCAAGGAGGTGGCAGCAATTGGGGTGAATGAAGGTTGAGCTCCCCCCCCCCAAATAAGAAACAGATGTTCTTTGCTGACCAGTTGTTTCACACAGAGGGAGACCTACTCCAGGGTGAGCCTGGCCCGAAGGTGGGGGTGGGGTTCTAGAAACTTCACAGGTGTGGGGCAAGTTCTCTGTTGAGAGACATCAAGGAAATATGAGAAGTAGATGTTGGAGACTTCCTGATATGCTGAGGTCCCCAGGCTAGAGACTGGTGTAGGGTACTAGCTGAGCAGGTACATCTCAGCACAGGACTCTGGAAGCATCCTGTAAGCATCTCCTGCACCGCTTCAAGTGACTAAGAACCCATGAGGCACATGTGGGCAAAGGGCTGACAGTTATGCTCTCCTGGCTGCGCAATAGCCACTGGGGACCTTGAGCAGACTCAGAGCTCCTTTGCGAAAAGCTGGGCTTCAAGTCCCAAGTTTGGGTTGGCCATCTATACTTACCTAGTGTGTGGGCCCATGAGTAGTTCACACACATGCACGTGCGCACACACAGAGGAGAGAGAGAGAGGGGGGAGAGACAGAGAGAGAGAGCCCATTTAGCCATCATCCAAACTCCTGAGTGAAGGTAGAAGGCATGATGCCTGGTGGTAGCTCTCCTCAGGAAGCTGTGTACCCCAGTAGAAGACTACACAATACTGTTCTAGCTTTGGCCTAGGCCAGGTTACTGCTGCAAAAGCTTCAGGCTCATACACAGCTTGCCAACTATCTCTCTGCTTCATGGAGAAGGAGCCACTAAGGTCCCCCACTCATGGTGGCACCTAAAAACAAGGCCTGTCAATGTTCAGCCATCACCTGCCCTCAGTATACACTACAGAGCAGCAAAATTCCAAAACAGAGATCCTAGTGTGAGCAAGAGGCCCCTAGGCACATCCCTGATGGCTCCTGGGTGCCTTCCCTCACCATGTCCCAAGACCCAGGGACACTTTCCCAAAGCCACAAACTGGATCCTACTCAGAAGCAGGGAAAAGCACCCTTGGGAAGTACTCACCTATGCAGCGCAAGGAAACCACCATACCGGATGAACAGGAGTCACTGGAAAGAAGGGATGTTGGTCACCACAAGCAGGGAGACACTGGTGCCCTCTCCTAGTGTGGCCTCCAGACTATCACTAATGACCCTACCGATGTGACTAAACCTACACGGAGATGGTGGCAAAGAATTGGCACAGTCAGAGCACCAGGCTCCAATGCAGCTTTGGGCATGATGCTTACTTTCTCTCTGCCGCTTCCCAATAAGAATAAGAAAATATCCAGGTTGATTCCTGGTCTGCATGTGCCAAAATCTTAAACCTTTGGAGCCCCTACATGATACCACACATGGAAACTTTCACACCTAAGCACATGTGAAGTTTCACAGACAAACCATAGTCATGCTAGAATGTAACAACCTTCATTTTATGCATATAAGATATACACAAGAGCTAGAGAGATGGCCCAGTAGGTAAGGGTACTTAGCCTCAAAGTCTGAAATCTCAGTTCAATCCCTGGAATCCACATGGAGAGGACTAATCCCTCTGACCTCTCCATGTGTACCATGGCAGCACCTCCACCACATACACAGACTAAATAAATTTCAATAAACAGATGAATACATGAGATATATGAGTTCTGTCCTTGATTCAAGTCCTAGCCCCAAGATGTCTCATACAGGAGTACTGTAAAAATCTAAACTCTGCAGGGGCACAGGTGAGCCGGCCCTAAGGGCGTGAGTGTGGGAGAGATGGCCCATCACAACTTGTCTGCCATGCGTGGGTGAGGGAGAGATACCCTTCCCCATCCCCTTGCCCCTTGCCACCTACAGCCCTGGGGTCATGAGAGAGACCCTGGGGTCATGAGAGAGAGAGAGAGAGCTGGTTCTTCCCATCACCAGCTGTAGCACCTTGGGAGAAAGGGCTCTGCACCTTGCCTGGGCAGCATAATAGAGCTGTGGGCATGGGCACATGTGAGCTGGCCCTGAGGGCATGACAGCAGAAGAGCTGGCTCTGCCCCTTGCCAGCTGCAGCACTGGGTGAGCTAACTGGGCAGCGCTGGAGAGCTCTCCCTGGCGGTGTGGGTGCAGGAGAGATGGAGGGCTGGCCAGCTCAGCTGCCACCCAGTCCCAGCTCCAGAGTCTGGGTTGGCACACCCCAACATCTACCCCATCAATGAACTTCTGGAGCACATGAAGGGGCCAGTCCTACAGATCCAAAGCTGTGAGCTCTCCATGACACAGGACAACAACAGAATATCTAAGAGGAGTCCTGGTGAGGTGCCAGTATTGATGGAGTAGCAGAAGCCAGAGACCTCTTACCAGATTAATGAGTTATTGCAATGAGCATTTGCAAGTAAGAAGTGTGGACAAAAGAGTATATTATGGGACACCCTGGGACATGCTACAGCTGCCACACCAAGAATTTTTTTTTTTTTTTTGAGGGCAAAGTTGCAAGGGTGGAGGGCAGGTACAAACAGATGGGAAGATGAGTGGACTGGGGAACATGATGTGAGATTCACAAAGAATAAAAAAGTTAAATAAGAAAATCTGAACTCTGAAATTCTTTCTGCCCCCACCATTTCAGACAAGGGGGTTCAACCTATGGCACCGACTAGGATGGTGGTGTGGGGTGAGGGCACAGCTGCACCAGTTGTTGCTTGTCTCTGTATAATTTAAAATCCCCCTCTAGTCTGGGTGTGATGGAAAACCCTGAAATTTCAGCACTGGAGAGTCTGCAGCAGGAGGATCACCAGTCCAGAGCCAGCCTGGGCTACATAGCAAGGCCCTGTTACAAACAGATGAGCAGCCATCCACTAGTACCATTAGGAAGTGGTCTGGAAATTTCTGATTTCCCTGGATGGGTTTACATGTAAGCCACAGATGGTAACAAAACACAACAGTCACTTGGTTGGGAGTTAGACTTCCCATGCTGTGCATGAGAAAGAAATACTCAATGCATTCCAGCCTATCCACACTGTCCCTGGTGCACAGAAGAGGCCACAGCCAGAGGCCCCAATGGCATCACCTGCCAGGTATGGTTCTTTGGAGAAGTGAGAGCCCTCCCATCAGTGTCCCATTAGAGCCCTGGGTAGATGAGCCTCACGTGCACCAGCTCACTTCACTGTCACTCATGCGCACACTGAATGGGGACATTTCCAACCTCTCAAATGAGGCAATCCCATCACCTGTCCTGCCTACCTTGTGCTCCCACCAGGGTGCCAGCTGGGAAGCCTCAAAGAGGGAGAACTGGAAAGAGGGTGCCTCTGCATCATAAGACTCACTAAAGCCCTGGATCAGAACGCACACCCTGGGTGCTTTGTACTGGGCACACAGGCCATATGCACCAATGAATGCCTCTGCAAATGCCTCACTTGAGCTTCTAGACGTCTGTGTATCAAGCTGTAGAATGTTACTGTAATGCCTCATTTCTGTGTATAAAATATTCAGGTTTAATTGCAGAAAACGAACCTGTGTTAACTTAAACGGACCTTTTTAAGTTATATTGTGCTACACAAACAAACCGCATCCATCTGATTCATATACAAGTTTGCTTCAATCTTTAAATCATATGCATACCGAGGAGCTCTTTGAAGATAAATTCTTCATGATCTGTTATCATTCAACACTCCTTTGTGTGTATCTCATAGTCCTATATACCTGGGGTCACATACAATTTCCTCAGGTGCAAGGGGTCACAAAGCCCAATCCTAGACAAAGCTTTCCTGTCAGCCTGTAGCTGGGAAGGGCTTCACCTAGGCTGATGGCCTGGGCCTAACCCTCCTCTGCTGTGCTCTCTTCTGCACCAGCAACCTGCACCTCCTCTCTCCTCCCTTCCACACTTGCTGACTCTCCTAGGCCTGAGTCCTTGTGGGAGATAAAGAGCCAGTCAACTCACAAAGAGCACCATGCCACCTGTGCTAAGCCCAGCTCTGTGCATGGAACACCTGGCAGGCCGCTGCTCTCCAGCAAGGCCAGTCCTGCCACATTTTCAGGGACAGCCAACCTAAAGCAGACCATCCTGGCTGCTACCAGGAAGATAAGCCACTCAGTTGAGAGATGGAGAGAGTGAGTAGTTCTCCAGCCCTGACACGCAATACCTGACAGCTGGCCCTAAAGGCAGCTGAGTCACCTGGAAAAGAGCAATGAGGCCCTGTGGGAAGAAGTCTCTGCACAAAGACATCATGGGTCCCCAACATCAAAAACATCCAGAGAAGAGCAATGGCCCTGTAAACTCACGCACAAATGATGGCTGTCTATGCCCCCTCTAAACTCCCAACAGCTCAGCCATCAGCCCTATAATCTGTTGTTTGGGTAGAGCAAATGTTGTAGCCACTTGCACCAGAGCCATTATCCCATGGCATTCCCTCACTGCCAGTCATGGGTTGAAGCCAACAGCCAGAAAGTCTCTTGGACTTCTGGTGCCCAATGCTACAGTGTCATACGATTTGTCCCTCTGAGCTTATGCCACAGAATTGGCCCCAGAGTCTGTGCTAATGGTAGTGAGAAAGCAGGGACTTGACATAACTGTGGGTTCCTTGAAATTAAGTCATGGAATGGGGGAGTCTTTGTGACAGACTATAGTGGCTTCATAAAAACAAAAAGAGAGGACACACAGGGCTTATGTTCCTGACATGCTGAGATGTGGCTCTGGGACCTTGTCAGGCCATATGGATCTTCTATCTGTAAAAGCATGAGTCAACAAAACCAAAATGCTTTTCTCTATAAACAGACATTTTGTTATAGTAACAGAAAGCCAACATACAGTCTAGCACAGTAGAAGTATCTCCTAGGGTCTGGTGAATAAACAAACAAACAAACAACAACAAAAGTCTATTCTCACTTCACAATGTTAGCCATTACTAACAGCAGCCCGGAAAGTAGAGATTGAAACCAAAATGGCAAAGTGGCAAAACAGCATGTATGTCCCAGATAGTTGCTGAGAATAAACTCATGGTGGCTGCAAGTCTTGTTTCTAACCTCCACCAGTGTGAAGATCGCTCCAAAACCCCACCTGGAACACAGGATGGCAGTGTCTGTGGGATTTCCTCATCCTTCACAAATTCTGCAACTCGAAGGAGCCCTCCGTACCTGTGGTAGAGTTTTCTATAGAGGTCGATGCTGCCTGCGCTCACATTCAACTTCATAAAGCTCGTTGCCCCACTGCTGTCTCGTATGCCTTTGCTAGAATGAAAACTGTTCCTAGAAAAAAAGACCGAAAATCTTACTGAAAACAGTGCTTTGGGCATAGCCGCTCACAGAGTACAATCCGCATCATAAAGCCACCCTTGGATGATGTCTGCAACAGCAGGAACACCTGAGTACTCTAGAATCAAAACCCAGGTTCAAGTTCAGCTGTGTGAAAGCCATTGTGCAGTCCAGAAACCTAGACTTGCACAGTTAGAGTCTCCCATCAACAGTGTCTCAGAGCCGAGGTGAGCTAGGGCAGCAGGGTGTTGAGGGCACCCAGCTGCACGCTGTCTAAGAAAATGTACAGTCTGCCCCATTACAAAATCCCCAGCTGGCTCTGGGTACGGAAGAATCGCTACCTACCCCAAAACTCTGAGTCACAAGATGAGTCACCAGAGGTCAACACTGAGCATCTTCCTCAATTGCTCTCCACCTTATTTTTTTATATTTAAAAAAGCATTTTGTAATATACGTGTGTCTACCTGCATATATATCTATGCATCATGCATGTGCTTAGTGTTCTCAGAGGCCAGAGAAAGGCACAGGAACTGGATGGTTGTGAGTGGTGGTGTGGGTGCTGGGGGTTGAACTTGGTTTCTCTGCTGAACCGTCTTTCTAGTCCCCTCTACCTTCTATTTTCAGCCTGGGTCTCTTACTGAATCTGGATCTCACCCAGATTGGCCAGCAGGCCCCAGAGATCTTCCTGTGTCTGCCTCTCCATTACTGAGGTTACAGTTTGCCTCCATGGCTAGCTTTTACATGGGTTTTCCAGCACCCATGTGGCAAGCAGTGAACCTATTAAGCTACTCTGCAGTTCCATAGGGTAGCAAAGAAATCCTCATTAAAATCACAACTCTCTCCCCTGGCTTAAGGCCTGTAATTCTTCATGAGAGCTATAGTCTAGACATGGTTTGTCTGCTCCAAATGCACACTGATGTAGCAGTGTTGAAGAGATAGGAACTTTAAGTACATTTGTGTCACAGCAACTCCACCCCCAAAAGGGAGTAATTCTCTTCTAAGGAGTTGACTGGGAGGGTACGAGGGAGGGAGCTACAGCTGGGATACAAAGTGAATAAGCTGTAATTAATTAAAAAATAAATTAATTAAAATTTAAAAAAATGTCTGTGGAGAGCAGGTTGTCCCATGCAGATCCAGCCCGCTCAGTCCCCTCCCCCATGTGCTCAGCAGCTCTCCCACTTTTCTCACCATGAGATGAAACAGCACAAGGCCTTTACCGGAAGCCAGCACATGAGCTTTGATTTCCTTCAGAATGGTGGGCTAAAATACAGAACCTTACTTACAAAGTACCCACCCTCAAGTGTTTTGTGATAGCAGAAGACACTAGGCAATGCTGGAGCTCCTGGCCAAGAAGTGATGGCCGTAGATATTCTTTCTCAACCCTGCCCACTGTCCCCTTTTCTTTCTTTCTTTCTTTCTTTCTTTCTTTCTTTCTTTCTTTCTTTCTTTCTTTCTTTCTTTCTTTCTTTCTTTCTTTTCTTTCTCTCTCTCTCTTTCTCTTTCTTTGTTTCTTTCTTTCTTTTGCTTTCTCTCTCTCTCCCTCCCTCCCTTCCTCCCTTCCTCCCTTCCTTCCTGTCTTTCTTTTTCTTTTATTTAATTTTGAGATAGGGGTTCTCTGTGTAGCCCTGGCTATCCTGGAACTCACTCTGTAGACCAGGCTGCCTTTAAATTCAAAGCTCCCCCTGCCTCTGCCTCCTGGGTTCTGGGATTGTACTACCACCACCCAGTAGAAAGGAATTTTTTTTTGCAATTTAATTTTATTTATATTTTTATTTATTACAATGTATTCACTTTGTATCCCCACTGAAGCTCCCTTCCTGTCTCCTTCCAGTCCCACCCTCCCTCCCTCTTCTCTCTCTATGCCCTTTTCCTAGTCCCCTGATAGGGGAGGACCTCCTCTTCTTTTTTTAATTAAAATTTTATTTTTTATATTAATTAGTTTATTCATTTTGTATCCTAGCTGTAGCCCCTTTCCACATTCCCTCCCAATCCCACCCTCCGTCCCTCATCTTCTCCCATGACCCTCTCCAAGTCCACTGATAGGGGAGGTCCTCCTCCCCTTCCATCTGACCATAGCTTATCAGGTCCCATCAGGGCTGGCTGCATCATCTTCCTCTGTGGCCTAGCAATGCTGCATCCCCCAGGCAGAGGTGATAAAAGAGCCAGCCATTGATTTCATGTCAGAGACAACCCCTGTAACCCCTACTAGGGAACTCATTTGGAAACTGAGCAGCTAATGGGCTTCCTTTGAACAGGGGGTCTAGGTTCTCTCCATTGCACGGTCCTTGGTTGGAGTATCAGTCTCTGCAGGGGCCCCTGGGCCCAGGTATTTTGCCTCTGTTGTTCTCCTTGTGGAGTTCCTGGCCCCTCCAGGTCTTTCTATTTCCCTCTTCTTCCATAAGGATTCTGGCACTCTGCCAAAAGTTTGGCTATGCGTCTCAATAATTCCTTTGATACCCTGGTGGGCAGAGTCTTTCAGAGGCCCCCTGTGGAAGGCTCCTGTCCTGTTCCTTGTCTTCTCCTACTTCCGATGTCTATCCTGTTTGCCCTTCTGAGTGAGGATTAAGTGTCTTCCCTAGGGTCCTCCTTGTTATTTACCTTCTTTAGGGCTATAGGTTTTAATATGTTCATCCTATGTTGTATGGCTAACATCTACTTATAAGTGAGTATATATCATATGTGTCTTTCTACTTTTGGATTACTTCACTCAGGATGACCCTTTCTAGTTCCCACCATTTGCCTTTAACCTTGAACAACAACTTTGGAAATCAATCTGATGCTTCCTCAGAAAATTAGGAATAGTGCTAACTCAAGATCCAGCTATACCACTGCTAGGTGTATATCTAAAAGACGCCCCACCATTCAATAAGGACATTTGTTCAACCATGTTCATAGCAGCTCTATTTGTAATAACCAGAACCTGGAAACAACCTAGATGTCCCTCAGTGGGGCAATGGATACAGAAAGTGTGGTACTTTTATACAATAGAATACTACTCAGCAATTAAAAACACGGAAATCATGAAATTTGCAGGAAGAAATTTTTAAGTGTGACTCTGCTTAGGTCTGTTCTGTGTCCAAAGCCTTCAGTTGCTCCCACCTACAGTGAACAGAACAAAGGTTCAGCTCATCTGACAAACTCCAAGGACAGAAAGTGAACAGTTAGCCTTGTTTTTTTGTCTCTCCTCCTGGCACCCCAGCACTACACGGACATTCCCAAGCAGCCAAGAAAGATGCAGAAAGCTGGCAGTTAGCCTAGGTCAACAGTGTCAGGGTGATGAGGTTTCCCTCTGGTTGTAAGACCAGCTTTTGGAAGGTGACAAGTGTTTGCAGCATCCAGTGCCTGGCACATACAGAGAGCTGGAGAGGTGGTCTTTAAGTGTCTACTGTCAGTGTTGTTGTGATGGCACCATGTCCCTTCTGAGGCACTGTACTCACTTGTATCCCATGTCTTTACATGCTGCTCTCCCGTAGCTCTCATTCCAATCATCCTGGCACACGGGATACCAAGCTTTCCTCTGAGATGAGTAAACCTGTAGGGTGAAGCTTGGTCCGTAGAGACGAACTGCATAAGGAGAAAGATGCTCCATGAGGCCTTAACTCTTAATCCATATCTTCCATATGCTGCCTTACCCACACACTGCCCACATGCCACAGCTTCTTCCTAAGGCCATGGCTGCACACAAAGAGGGACATGAATCTATGTTTCCCCTATTAAAAGCATTCTAAAAGAATTCCAAATGGATATTCAGACATAAATTTTTCCCAGTGGCCCACAGCCTGATAGTGACCACCATGGATGAAACTATGCCACAGCCAAGTGACATAATGAAAAGTCATCCAGCTGTCAGTGGGAATGAAGCTCTCACAAGAACCATTACATGACTTGGCCTTTAAGGCATGGCACAAAGCGAAAGAAAATCACAGCAGCCCACAGACTAGGCAACCTCAAGCATATGAAATGTCTAGGCTAGAAAACCTAAGAAAGGACTGGAGAGGCTACTTGGCCATTATGAGCACATACTGCCCTTGTAGAGAACCCAAGTTCACTTCTCAGCACCCATGCTGGGTAGCTCAAAACAGCCTAGAATTCCAGCTTATGCCCTCTTGTTCTAGCCTCCTGGGACACTGTACTCACATGGCATACACACACTGAGAGGTACACATACACAAACTTTTATAAATTTATTTTAAAAGAAAATCTAAAAAGAAATGATATTAGTAATTTCTTGGGGCCTGGACAAGGCAGACAGAAGGACCTAATCAAGAACATGGAATACTCCTTAACTGCCTATAGCAGGGACTGCTCATGTTCGAATGTATAAAAACCACAGCTCAGACATTCATCAAGAACAGCTTTGGGGATATAGTTGATAGCTCGCTGGTTTAAAAAAAAAAAAAAAAGAATGAAATACAGAACAAAACAAAGTCCCCATCAAGCTCTCATTTTGAACAAATTGACCTCACATCCAGATCCTAGACCCTGGCAGAGCACCCATGGCCCTGATAAGTGCCCCAGTGCATGAATGCCGAACTGTTCAGTACATTTTGCTCTTTCACTGAAAGAACAAACATTTAAATGCAGCGAGGCACTTCCTTACTCAGCTCTGGTCTCCAGAGAGATCTGTATAGCCCAGCATTCAAAGAACTTGTCATCTGATAGAATGCTGAGAGTGGCCAACTCAGAGCAGACTCCCAGGAAACTGGTGGGTCACCAAAGGGTTATGGAGTTTACAAGAAGAATCTTGTAAAACAGTGCCACACCAAAGAGAGTCAGCTGCTGAAAAACATATTCTGCATAGTATCCCATCTGCACATCAACATGGCTTTGTGATCAGGGGAAACAATAGGGTCCAGTCAAGCCTTGGCTCACTTCTCACCTCCATCCTGGCCCTGACTGATTGGACAAATGACCTGACATCAGAAAATCTCCTCCCAAAGAGTGACCGCTCTGGAGCCCAACTGTCTTCTATGGCTCCAGGGATGAGTGAAGCCACAAAACATGCATGTTTTGTGAACAGATAAAACTCTGCTATGAGCTAGGCTATAGAGTGTCTCTCAGTACCCAAGAGAAACCACAAAGACATGAAAAGCCACATGAAAATCCCAACCACATACTGCAAAAAGAACGAACACAACCCAAAAGGTCTGTATCCACCACAGAACATTCTAGAAAAGTAAGCTATGGAGACAACCAAAGATCTGAGGCTGCTAGAGGACACTGCAGGGAGAGGAATGTGCGGGGCACAGGAGGCTTAGGGTAGTGCATTCTGGGTGCAGGCATACAGCCACTGACATGTCTTTGTCAAAACCCATGTGGTCACAAGCAGGGAAAAAGATAAAATTCAAGACAAACTCACAGTTCTGGCTCTTGGGAACAGGTCCAGTGACCAGTGTGAGTTAGTGCCTGGGTGATTTCTAGAGGCACAGTGGCCTCTCTCTGCAGGTCTAACAGTGTTTTCAAAATTAAAGTGCTTAAATGCAGCTGAAACTGTATGTTTCCAGTTAGTGATGGAACTGCCTGCATGGCAGGGTAGGGACAGTGATAAAAGAGTTAGATATCCTTCCTCCTGTCTGCTTTCCAACATTGATGAGGAAGCAAGAGGGAGGCAGCATGATGAGGACATGCTCCCAGGGAGATTTTTTTTTTTCTGTAAGTGTTAGGCTTTTTCCTAAGTCTTACAGAGCTATAAGTGATAAGTACATACTTGTGGTGTCCAGGGTGATGATATGGTTAACAAAGCATCGCCACTACCAATGGAGGATACTTGCCTCCCTTCCTCATGCTGGGTCCCTTCTCTAGTCTGTGGTGAGGACACTTAGGGCTGGATCTGTCTGTGACTCCCAAACACAGGGCTGTTGACCACAATCACATCACAGTTCTTTTTTTTTTTCTTCTTCTTCTTCTTCTGGAAGTTTTGAGAAAGCCTCGAAATTAATCAGATGCATCAGGAACTGTGGGTTCTGATGCATGTTCACACACTCCCTACCCTTGGGAAGAAAGTACCATGTACATCCTCCTTTCTGTTGCTGTTGTTTTGTTTTCCAGACAGGGTTTCTTAACGTAATAGCCCTGATTATCCTCAAACTTGCTTTGTAGACCAGGCTGGCCTCAAACTCACAGAGATCCACCTGCTTCTACCTCCTGAATGCTAGGATTAAAGGCATGCTCCACCACACTCAGATTCCATGCACATTTTTAAACATGTCACATTTAAAAGCAGACATGAACGACAGAGTGAAAGTAAGCTATTCTCATCTATACAGGACACACCTTGCCAGGTCACCTGTCCTTTCTACATGAAAACTGCAAACTGCACAAACTCAAACCTCAATCAACAGAGATGCCTTTCCAGCAGCTCAACTCCTAAGAAGGCATCCTACTGTCTATTCACAACCTAAGCACTGCATCCTGGACACACAGTGGGATTGACCACCAGAGAGTGACCAGTGACAGCAGCATGTCAACACAAGTGGTCTGCTCAGCCACGAACCCTGTGGACAAAGTACTTGGGCTCAGATCCCCATGAAAAATGAAATGGCATCTTTGCAAAGATGCCACCCAAGGAGGTATGGCAAACAGGTATAAATAGGTATAAACACACACACACAGTTTGTGTGTATATGTGTGAGTGTGTATGTGTGTGTGTGCCTTATGTATATATGTGTGTATTGTGGCGATGGTGATTGCTCATGTGTGAAAGTATGCTGTGTCTGCCTGATACACATGCATGTATAATATGTGTGTGCATGTGGTGAGTGGTGTGCATACGGATTGTGTATATGTTCATATGTCGTATAAGTTGGCATGTTTGAAATAAGATGAACAGAAAACCCCTATAGTAGAAGTTTATTGCTCATACAACACAGGTGGAGGAGCATCTCCGACACATTTCACTGTCCTCTTTGCCTAAGACACTTGCTGTCACCCAAAAGACAGGAAAGAAGTCATCATAAGCTGTGGGACTTTATCTCCCAAGCACACACCTGCTGAGGAATCAGGCCACAGAACAGGCATAAGTCCACTCAAGTGGGCCAACAGCTGGACCCCAGGAGTCCAGTACTCTGCCCTGGGAACTTCCCTGAGACAGGGCCAATGCTACAGAATCTAATTCACATAGGGGTATGGAGGTCAGGATGCAGCAGAAAGCTGCCCTACCCAAAGGTAGCCTAGAAACAAAACCCACCTTGGACAACCAGGTCTGTGGGGTTTTTAGCCCCAAATCCAAGAGGACTGGAGAGCACTTGGTGGGGATGGCAAAGCACGGGGGATCCCTAGAGAGACTGGGACAACAATATGAACTTCCCATTCAGGAGAATGGCTCCTGGGTTGGGATACAGCTGAGGTTAACAGGAAGCCTCAGCCCCTAGGTACAGACAGTGCTTGGGGAATGAGTGCCAAGGAAGACAGAAAAGCAAGACAGGACAGCTGTTTCAGGCAAGACAGCAGCTCACTGTCAGCTGCAGAGCTAGGGAAACACAGGATCTGTGTCACCTCATCACCCTTCAACGTGGAGTGAATACCAGGAAGACAGAGGCTTGGCCACAATGCTGGGACATCAAAAGGCCAGCTTCAGGCTCTGGAACATGATTAGCACAGCCCTGCTCCTCAGCTGTGTTTCTTGGGCCCAGCCTCTTGACTGTCTTTGAAGTCAGCTTCAAAAACTGTGTACATGTTCCACATTTCTTCATCCATGTACCAGCTGATGAATAATTAGGTTGGTTTTTAAAGGTTGGATTGCTTGCTCATGTGCTAATTCTGTGGTTTCAAGGAGCCTCCATAGTGTTCTTCATTACTGGCTAGACATAATACATTCCCATTGACAATTTCAGAGGCTCCCTTCTCTCTTTGCCCTCACCAGCACTTGTTATGTTCAACTTTTTAATGACACAAGCACAAAGCAATATTCCTTTGACATTTTAATTTTGTATTTTTATTTTTAAAATAAAAAATATATTTACTATGTGTATGACAGGGAAGGTGATGCCATGATAAATGTAACATAAGCTTAGCTTGTCAATTATTAAGTAATTAATTGAAAGGGGGAAAAAAGCAAATATACTTGTTTACTGCTATTACAGTGGGCATAACCTTGAAGGCAGCTAATTTTAAAACCAGCATAGTGCACCCCAACTTCATATTTTCAACAGTCTGCTTGTTTTAACTGTCATCCAGTGGGAGGTGGAAACGTGTGTTTGAGTTACTGAGTCCTTGCTGGCTTTGTCACCTCCCCATCACTCTTTGTGGTACAGATCTAGAAACGCTATCAAGAGCCTAAGCTCAGCACCTGCCTGGCTGTCTCCCAGCTGCTGCTATGGCAGACATACAGAGCCCAGTGCTTTCTGAGCCAGGGCCAACTCACCACACCGGTTCTCGTCTTCCCCATTGGGGCAATGCGATGTCCCGTCACACCAGAGAGAAGTGCTGATACAGATGCCTGACGACCCACACTCCATCTCAGACGTAGAGCACTTGCTAGCCCCTGGCATTGGATCAGGAGAAAGGGAGGAAAATTCATCAGGCTGGGCATCCAAGGAACTACAGAGCCCACAGGCATCTTGTCATTCACCCTCAAGCCCAGTGAACAGGAGAAACCACCTCCTCATAAGGAAGAGGCATGCCATTGCCGCCTACATACACATGGAGCTAGGATTGGACACTGTCTTCTGTAGAGCCAATGGAAAGGGTACTTGCATATGGACGCGCTCACACCTCCTCTCTGCCATCCAGTGGACCTCAGGGGGCACCAGGAGTCCATGGGTGCATTACCCCAGCCCAAAGGCAAGAACAGAGGCTTCAACTATAAATGTGACATGGGGAGGGGACTCCCAGGCAAGGACACCACAGCTGTGCAGTGGTATATAAGGGTCAGGCTATGGCTATGCCTCCTTGAACACGCCCCATCTCACTTAATCTCAGAAGCTCAGCAGGGTACAGCATGGTTGGTACTTAGATGGGAGTTTAGCATTTCTACCAGCCACAGGTTAGAGGAAGCAGAAGCACAGACTTGAACAAGTGTGTGGAGAAAAAGGAGGAAAGGGCAGCCTTGCCCACAAGGGAGACAAGATTGGGAGGCATCAGGTGGCTCCTCCAGCTTGGGGAGAAGGGTCATAGTCACAGCAATGCACACAGTGGCAGTACCCAGCCCCAAACTTACAGAACCTCCAAAGCACAACAGCAGCCACAGCAGCACCTGCGAGGACAGTGCCCACGGCAAGGGCGACACACAGTGATCTCTTAGTCTCTGCAGAAGAGAGGATTGCTCAGATCAGCATTCTGAGAAGAGGTCCTTCCGCCACACCCTTAACATCCCAGAGTTACCACAAAGCCACTCAACTTGAAAGTATCACAAATCAAGCTGGGCATGACTTCATGCCTGCCTATAATCCTAGGACTCAGGAGGTGAGCAGGACAGGGACAGGAGTTTAAGGCCAGCCTGGAACACACGAGCTCCTATCCCAAAACACCAAAGAGAAGGAGGAGAAGCAGGAAGGGAAGAGATCAGAAGTCCAAGTCCAAAGTGCACTTGGTGGACATAGCCATGAGCCCGCTTAACCTGGACACTGTTAAACTTGCATTACCTACAGCTGGGAAAACCACCCAGCCAGAAGTCTGCTCATTATAAGGTGCTAGATTATGCATCACCTCGTCGTAACTGAAAAGTAGAATGGTTTTATGAGTATACTTTCACATTGTCATTAAGTTAAAAATTCTAGTTTAGCTTCTATACGTGTGGCCATTTCTATACCACATTAGACTTATTTGTTTGTTTTTGTGCTGCTAAGGATCCAGGCCAGGGACTCACTCATGCTAGGCATATGCTCTACCACTGAACTGCACCCACTCCAAGAAATAGCACTGCCCACATGCATACAAATGTCAGTTTGAATATCAAGGCATCACTCGGGAGTCTCAGTGCTTCTGTAGCATAAAACACATGCTCAGGGGCATGGAAGTTAAAGCTCCAATTTGAAATTAAGCAAGCGTAACCTCTTAAAACAATAGGACAGTTCAGGAAGGGTATGAATGTAGACCAGTATTCACATTAAAAACAAAAACAAAAACAGCTCAAAGAGGCTGGAGAGGTGGCTCAGCAGTTGAGAGCAGTGTCTGCTCTTCCAAAGGTCCTGAGTTCAATTCCTTGCAACTACATGGTGGCTCACAACCATCTCTAATGAGATCTGGTGCCCTCTGCTGGTGTGTACACATACATGCAGGCAGAACACTATAACTAATAAATCTAAAACGAAACAAAACAAACAAACAAAACAACCTGCTCAAAGAGGAGAGCTGCCTGATTTCAGCAACTTGCCAGCATGAGTCATATAATGTTGCCCCCAGCATCATGGGGCTGCCAGGGGGAGCTCCAGGAGGAGCACCTATTTTTTCCATGGCTGCTGAAATAACCCTGTTGTATTTGACAACTAGTAGCCACTTATTGCTACTGACACTTTCAGTAATTACAGTTAAGTGGAATTAAGCTAAAATGTATAAATTGAAGCACTCAGTTGCCACACTGAGGTTGGCAAGCTGGCTTGACAGGTAAAGGCACTTACTGCCAAGCCTGATGACCAAAGTTTGGTCCCCAAAACCTACATGGTGGGGAGAGGGCTGAATCCAACAGGCTACTCTGACCTCTACACATTCTGTGGCACCTCACCCACAAACAAAGAAATAAATGTTTAAAAATGAAAACAAAGAAGGAAATGGAGAGATGGCTCAGTAGTTAAGACCACTTGTTGCTTTTGCAGAAGATCGGGGTGCAGTTCCTAGGACACACTTAGTAACTCACAACTGTCCCTGGCTCCAGTAAGAAGGGATCCAGTGCACTCTGCTGGCCTCTGTGGGCACCGCATGCATGTGGTACATATACATATATGTATGTGCAGGCACTCATAAAATAAAAACTCAGCTAAGAATAAAATAATTTAGACAATTATTTTCCAGTAGCTCACTGATTTCTCCAGCTGTAACAGAGGTAGTCCTGCTAGGTAGAGGTTTGAGCCAAAAGTAGCATCAAGGTTCTGAAGAAAGAGACAGATGACAGGGAAGGGACCCTGCAGATTCTGAAAATTGGCCTCTGATAGTGAGGGGTCAGTCACTCCCAGCAACTCTCTCTCTAGGTGAAGTCCCAATCTCTGGGGGGTCCCTGGAACTTTCCCTGGAAGAAAGACAGAGAGATGGAATAGAGGGCAGGGAAAATATTGAAACAGGCACTGCCAGGCTAAAGAGTGCTGTCGGGGAGGACTTGGCTGTATGTTCTGTGGGTCCAGCAGCCAGGCAGGGCAGCGGCAAATTGGGCTCTGGAGCTAAAAGACCCAAGCCAACCTGCTTGGAACTGGAAGGCTTAAACCAAGTGTGGTAGTGCACACCTGTAACCCCAGAACTCTTGGAGACAGAGACAGATCGCTGTGAGGCCAGCCTGGCCTACAAAATCCAGGATAGCCAAGGCTATGCAGGGAAACCCAGTCTTGAAAAACCAAAAAAGAATTGAAAGGCTTGCTTTCACCTGGTTACTGCACCCTACTGACGGTATGAACAGCTTTCAAAGAGTTACTAGAGACTGGTCCACATCCCAGGGATTGTGCTCCTGTGGGCAACCTGCACTCCCAGCAGCTTCACAGGCAAGGCCCAGGGCTGAAAACCTTACCAGGCAGAGATTTTATCAAAATGCAGTGAGGGGTGACTATGCCTTCAGGCAGCAGGGTGGAGCCACCCAGAAACCCATAGGAGAAATTCCTGATGGCTCACCTGATGAATTACCAAGCACGCTTTCCTCTTTGGGGAACTTATCCGCATGCCATTGCATCTGAGATAAAATAACTTGCTTAAAGCTGGCCATGTGGCTCAGAGGTAAACATCTGCCTAGCATGTTCAGGAGCCTAGCTCAGAGGAAAAAAACAAACACTAAATCAGTAACTTGGCTGGTGAGTAAAGGAGATTAAATCAAGTGTCCTTCACTTCTGGTTGGGGCATGTGCGGAGTCACAGTCTGTCTGGTTTGCTCAGGACCATGTCTGCAGCAATAAGCACCCATTTCACCTCTGAACAGAAATTTGTCACCAGCTGTGGTCTCCATAGCGTGTACTTGCAGGGTTCAATCTCGGGCCACTGTTCATGTACATCCATTCTTAACAGCACAGCCTGTTGACTCAGCCCTACGGCGTCTGCACCACAGGACTGTTGACTTTGAATTCTTTAAAGGCTCTTGCAGGTGCACGCAAGAAAGTTCCATGACAGTTGCTAAAGCAAACAGGTAAATCTAAAGCAGAATGTCCTTCCACTCCTGACTTCTGACTCAGTGCTGCCAACGTAATGTGGGACATGGATTCTGGCAAAAATGTCGACTTTTTGATGTCTTATATGGCAACATGTTTTCTTTTTCATTTTTCTTTTGGAGTGTGTGTGTGTCACTGGATTCTCTCCAGCTAGAGATGTGCAGCAACTCAGGTGCTCTGTGAGAACAGCTTGTGCTCTTCACTGCTAAGCCATTACTCCAACCCAAAAACTGTGATTTAAAAACATTATCAAAGTTAGTGGAAAAATAATAAAATAAAATTACTAAATTACTTTCCAGTTCATGGTACATGGGCATCAGTCTGGACTTCTGGAAGGCTAATGATGGACTGAAAGCCTGGCCATCAAAGCACAGCCAGAGGTTTTACAGTGCGGGTTTATAGTGGAAAATCACACCCCAGTGTGTATGCTTCCGATATACAGGCAATTGGTAGAAAACTACATGTTCCTTTCCCTGTGTCTGTCACTCCTGATTACTCCCTTGGAATGTGAAAGTACTCAGTAGGGTACAGTGGGGCCCTTCTGCCTACTGGGCTAGCCACTGACAGGGGGACATTCTTTTGGAGGTGCAGCCTTACATGGGACCGTTTGGCTTCTGACAACTAACAGGGTCCTTGCCCTGGCTTTCTTCCAGCCACCATGGTGAGTGAAGGCCAGACATTCTGTATCTTGCCTAGCTAGCCCAAAGGGGTTCATGGAAATAGAGAAGAGGGCAAGAAAATAGAGGAGGAGCACAGCAAAGGACAGAAGAGCCATGAAGAGGTTCAAACAGTAGAGATAAGTAGGACAGGGATAGCAGGAGAGCCAGAAAGATCTAAACAGAATAGACAGATCCCCGAGGCCTAAGGCCTATCACTTAATTGCTGATGAAGCGATGGATGGCCCACAGAACTCACTTCCTTATCAACCTAGAACTGTGCATGATACACACAGACAGGTGCTCATTTCATAAAACAAAAACTATCCATTAAAAAGCTTATGTGGCTCTGGAGAGATATCCATAAGTTAGGAACATCTACTGCTCTTCCAGAGGACCAAGTTCATTTCCCAGCACTCAGGTTGAGTGGTTTCCAAACAGCTGCAATACCTGCGACCCCGGCTCCAGAGGATCCAACACCTTCTTCTGGCCTCCAGAAGCGCCTGCACACATGTAACATACACATGCGCTCACACACAAAAATAAAAAAATAAATCTAAAAAGACAGCTTATCAGTAGAGCCACTGGAATCCTCTAAGCCAAACAGACAACACTGGAAACATCCCGAACTAAAAGGTGGAAGGACACAGGATCAGGTGTCTGAACAGAGAGTGACCTGTTGAGTGAAATGGTCAAAAAGAGAGGGTAATGAGATTCAGCTTTCATACTCAACCTTCAGCACTGTTCTGAGGTTTCAGGGCTAGGGAGCGGCATGATACATCCCATTTCTGTGCTGTTCCCAGTATAGCACAGCATCTGTTTGGTATCTGCTGAACATGGGTGACCGGGAGTGGGAAGGGCAGCCCGGCTCCCCTAGGAAGGACATGGGCTCTGGAAGGAGAGAAGCCCCACATGGGGGAGGTGCCTGCAGAGCAGAGAGCGTGGCAGCAGATTCCCAGCTAGTCACAGGAGGCAGCTTTACCTCAAACCCTCTGTATTCTGAGCACAACAATAACATGTCAGATAGTTCACTCTCAACCCTGAGTGCTCACTATTGATTCAAGACAACACATCCACAAGCATGGAGGCAAGAAGGGACTGAGAAACCTTGTCCTAAAAGCCCAGCTGAGCTGGGCAAACACACAGGGGGGCTGCACCAAAGGCAAGGGGACAGGAAGGTCTCTCCCTGCCAAAGAGAAGTGAGTCTAGTGCCCATGACTATGACCAGCCGGAGAGTGAAAGGCAGGCAGAAAAGACTGGCCCCTGCTGCCAGTGCAGAGTTTGTGACAAAAAAGAAAAAATGAGAGACCACAAGAGAAGGCAGACCCAGAAACTCTAGGCCCTTGAGGTACAATGTTAAAGAGTCTTACTTGAGGTGCACAGTATCCCTGAGGACTTGGGCTGTGGGTGGATGACAGGTGTTGAGGCTTGCGTTGTAACCCTCGGGGCATACTGGGGCACTGGAGATGGGTAGCACTGGGCTGGGTACAGGTTGTAGCCACTGGGAGCCACAGGGGGCCTCGGGGCATAGATGTGCTCGGACTGATAACCATGGTTCTCATAGTAAGGTCCAATTCCTGGAGGTGACCCCTAAACATGGTAAAGGAGATAAAGCAGTTACAGCTCTCACTCACCGCAAAGCCTGGAAAATTAGCATTTCTTTACATTTCCACTAGACAGGGAGAGACCAGCAGATTCATCAAGCACTCTGGCTTCACAGTAACTCACTTAGAAAAACTAGACCCTTTCTGAGTTAACTAGAATGCTCAACAATCTGTGTTTCATTGGCTCTGGTTTCTTGATTCATTTGTTTCCATTATCTGTTCTTTGTAATAAAAGAAAAAGGTGACTGGGATAATTGAGATTTTGTTAGTAAAAAAAAAAAAAAAAGCACACAAATTTGGGGTAAAAAGTCACTGAGCTAGACTCCCATTGCTCTGGTTCTTCCTCCATATCCCCCCGCCCCCGGGGAGGGGTTGAGTTGTGAAACCATGAGCCAGGCTGCTGTCAAGGTTCAGAATAGTTCATATCTGAGAACCCATCTGCTGAAGAGACCCCACATTCAGATCCTGTGTGCAACCTCAGGTGTGGTAAAAACACACTTTTCAGCTGACTTAAGAAACTACTAGAAGGAACAAATCCAAGATGCAGGTTTCTCTGGCCATTCTCCTCCAGAGCCCTTTTTCTTATGCCGCTGGAGTTGGCAGTCATTTACCCAACTGCTCTCACTAGAGGGCTGTAAGCATCCCTATGCAGTGTGTACATCCTGGTGCTGAGGGAACAGGTGCCTTCTCAGGGGAACTTGGCAGTCAAAGCATGTGCTGTGCGAATGTGAAAAAGATAGGCTCCTCTGCTAGGGTGCCAGTCCTTTTACTTAGCCCATTTCTCAGGACCTTCCCCTGGCTGTACTGGCAAGTCACACCCCTAGCAGTCCCTCAGGACTTCAGAGCTTGCCGTTCTTATTTCTACTTTCCTCACTCTCTCAGTGGCCGGACCTCTCCTAGAGGCCCCAGTTACCCTCATCCATGTCTAATGGTTCTTACCTAAAACTCTCCAACTCCCTTTCTGCTCAGGCTTTCTCATGGGCCTTGACAGAAACATCCTCTGGAAACAGGTATCCTCAGTAGGGACCACTAAATATAGATTTTTAAAAACTAATTTATTTATTGTGTATGTTGCACATGTGTGTAAAGAGGAATCAGAGGACAACTTGTGAAAATCAGTTGTCTCCTTCTACTCTGTGGGTCCCAAAGACTGAATGCAGGTCATCTCTACTGTATAGAACTGTCTTGCTGGCCTAAAGTTGAGAATTTTAAGCAGGGAAACATGAACACTCCAAGGTTAACAATCTGTGCTTAATAACTCACAAGCACTCTCCTTCAAAAGATTATGACTTGAAGCAGGGGTTGGGGGACAGTGAAAGCCATCCCTCATCTAGACACACAACTCCAGATTGAGAAATTAAGTGAGTGTCTGGTCCAGATCCAAACCACCTCCCCAGCAGTAAAAGCTGAGATACACCAAGCACTTTGTTCTGGATGTAGCACTTAAATTATGAAGGAATCCAGTAAAAAACTAAGTACCAGAGACTCATAAAATGAGACACTGGCATCTATGTATGTATGTGTATATGTATCCATATATGTATCTATATATGTATCTATCTCTCTCTATATATACAAATATATTTACAGAACCTAGAGAAATAATCCTAAGTATTTGTGCGTGTGGAAGGTGGACTGGTCAGGCTTGAGGATGACAAAAACAACTGCTTTTATTGCCCTAAGTAGTAGGCTCCCAGCAGGAATGGACCACCCAATGACTTACTCAGGTGTGGCTGATCCGAAGTTATTGATAGGCAGACATTGATAGCACCATCACGGACTTTCATCCCTAAACTCATGCCCTCTGCCCCATCCTGCCTCTCTTGTATGTACACCCACTGCCCTTGAAGGAGAAAGGGAGCACACACAATGTAGTAATCCCAGCTTCTGTCCAGCAGTGGTGGCTTTTCAGACACCCTGTGGCATATTGGGCTCCATCCATGTCTCACCCTTTCCAACACAACTGTGGTGGTTTGGATAAGAATGCCACTATAGGCTCATATATTTGAATGCTTAGTCACTTGGGAATGGAACTCTTTGAAAGAATTAGAAGAATTAGGAGGTGTAGCCTTGGTAGATGAAGTGTATCACTGGAGATAGGCTTCCTGTAGATCAGAATATAGAACTCTCAGCTTCTGCACCAGAAATATGCCACCATATTCCCTACCAAGATGATAACGGACTAAACCCATGAAACTGTAAGCAAGCCCATAATTAAAAATGTTTTTATGTAGAAGAGTTGCCTTAGTCACAGTGTCTCTTCATAGCAATAGAACAGCTTGAATAACGTCCAAAGGGCCACCTGTTCCTATGCACAGCTCTTAAAATTACTGATGAACACCTGTGGAAGATAACAGAGGGATGAAGGAACAAGGAAAAGGCCAAAGATGTAAGAACTGCCCACTTACTGAATTCAATGCCATCCTGCCTGTGTCAGCAGCATGAGGAGGTATCTGGCTTCTTCCAGGTGACCTACAGGAAAGAAGCACACGCAGGCGTATTTCAGTGCAGTTTAGCTGTGGAAGACTCTGGGTGAAGGTCACATTGTACCAGAGCAAGATACAGTTCTGCCCTGCCTGGCCTTGCACCTTCATTTCACCTATGTCTTCTCACGCCTCTTCATTCCTGGTGTGTTTATGCCAAGGAATCTACTGTCTTCCTCTGGGGTACAGAGAAACTCATGAGTGGGACTGGAATACAAGTTGAACTACTGTGGCCAGGAGAGCCTGCATGACCTTGAAGAAATGAGGACAGGAAAAGAGCCCTGCCTACATGGGAGCACCCAGACTGAGCCTGTGACTCCAAGCCCTTCTACACGTATGTTGTTCTCAGTAGGGGGCCAGTAATGGCTCCTCCCAGATACAACCCACCAAAAGGAAGAATCATAGGAGAAAAACAAACAAGAACCACCAAAAAGAAACATCAAAACCCCATCCACTCCATAGAGGGTAATGAAGAGCCTGAAAGGGAAAGACCTAGGCTACCTCCTACTGGGGCCTTTTCCCAAAAGCATCCTCAGACAAAAAAACTGAACCAGCCTGATAGCTCAGCTCTGTCTCTGCAAAGTGGATAGGTTGATACATTTGTTAAGGTGAGTTTCATTGCAAATGTGCACCGAGAACGGAAGAGCAGAGGATCAGATCGAACACACACTCTACAGAATTCTATAGGTGTGTTCATGCAGATGCCTATAACTGGTGGCCTATAACTGAACACCAGAGACGGGTCACATTTGTCTGTCTCTTCTACATAAGCCTCACAGGGTTGCCCAAGCTTTAGGAAATATTATGTTCTTATAACACAATGTTACACTTCAAATGTGAAATGGCATCCGCACTAGGGGTGCTGTTTCGGAAGGGCGTAGAGCCTTTTTGATACAGGCTAAAGGCATGGGGCTCGAGGCCTCCAGGCAAGCTCTGCTCTCTGGCTCTACTTCTGGCTGGAGGTCCTGCTTCCTCATGTACTAGGATGTCAGCAAGCAGCTTCATGCTCCTACTGCTGCAAACAAGAGCTGATCCTGGGCCACATCTTTCCAGCCATGATGAATGTATTTCCTGAACAGTGATCCATAATAAATTCTTTTGCCTCTGGATTCTTCTGCCAGTTATTCATCACAAGAAAGAAAAGGTGCATGATATACACAGCCACCCCCAATCTGTTTACTATCCTAAACCCTAACAGAAAACAATGCCAAACTAATTGCTTTGACCAACTCAATCTGTGGTTATAAAAAGAAGTCCCTGGGTCATTTCATATGTAGCCATGCGTGAAAAGTCAATAACAGCCAGACACCATCAGCATAAAGTCCCTTACTTAAGGAAGCCATCTTTCCCATCATTGTCCTCTAACAACAGACTCTTTCACCAAGCTTCAGAACCTCTGTGCGCTCTTACACAGAAAATGTAGTTTAATGAAACCTTGATAAATCAGTTTACTAAGAATCTACACTTTCAATACCTGAAAGAATTCCTAGTCCTCTACATCCTCAAAGGATACCTGGTAAACCTGGCCTGCCTTCAGCAAGAACCCTGTCAAGTAAGGCTAGCCAGATCCCTCTCACCTGCGTCACCTCTTCCTGATTTCTCATCCATAGATATTCTGCTCCATGGCCATAGCTCCCATTCTCCCTTGCTGCATTGGGAATCAAAGCAGTCTTTTCATCATTGGCTGCCTGCCTGGTCCATCCATCCGCTGAGATGCTCCTGAATCCACTAGTCCTCACCTTGCTTTAATGAGGGTTGGTGCATTATTTTTTCATTGTTATTCTCTCTATGAGGGCTTTGTTTCATTCCTCCCAGATGGATGTGAGGTGGTTCAAAACTATTCTAAGAAACGATCTTGGGGAGTCACCTATTCACCAGATGACGTGCCAGGGACGGCTGGAAGGAGTTCAGACATCATGATAAGCCCTTTTCATCTGTAAGAACCGGATACTTGAGTGCTGGGGAGATGATCATTGGACAAAGTGTGAGGGAGGCAGAGCCAGGAGAATCGCTAGGACATAAATAGATGCTTTTGCCCATTCAGTGAGCTCCTGGCTCAGAAATATATCAAAATTAAAGTGGAAAGTGACTGCGGAAGACACCCAGCACCCACCTCTGGATCTCTACACATGCACACATATGTATGCACACCTAAACACACACATGAACACATACACATGCCTGCACTACACTACATACGAGCCTGACATTAGGTACACAGAACACAACACTACACAGCTAGCAGCTATGACACTGGGGATTAAGCATAAGGTGGAACTTGGATCTCAACCTAGAGTCAATCTCTTTCTAGCTGTGACCTGGGAAGGTCCTAGTCCTGCGTTCTCTATCAGGATAGAAAAGAGAAGCAGCCCTTATAATCACCTCAGGAGCACTGGGTAAATGTAGCAATAGCATGATCGGTATAGGTGCACAGTCTTACCTTAGTCTTGACTGAATGAAACTAATTTTACCTGAGGACATAGCTTGGTGGACAGACTCATGGTTACTGACTTACACGCAAAAGTATGGGATTGCCCCAATAACTGCAGTCCACTGACGTCATCACACACTGTCTCACATGTGCTGGCTCTTTCATGAAGCCCCCAGAGTGCCAGGTGCTGTTCAAGCTGCTAGAAGTGGGAAGAGATCCCCAGAATCTGCTTCTTTCTTCCACCTGTGTCACCACATGCCACCACCAGACACCGTGCAGCCAGTAAACACACTGAAGAGAAACGAGGCTCAGGTCACATCATCCTCTTTTCTTAGGGACACAGTCTACTATTAGGAAAGCTAGTCAGTGGTAGTATGGAGTGGAGGTCTGAGACATTCAGACATGGGCATACTGCCCTGGCAGGGGAGAGGACATTTAAGGAGAGACCCTTGTACTGTCAGACTATTGAAACAGTGGATCTGGGAGAACTAAGAGTTCCTCAGGGCTGGGTTTGGTGTTACACATCTTTATTCCCAGCACTCAGGAGGCAGGGTCAGGCGGTCAAGGCCAGCATGGTCTACAAAGCAAGTTCCAAGTCAGCCAGAGCTACACAGAGAAAACCTGCCTCAAAAACCCAAGAGTTTCTCAGGAACCCCAACGTAGAGAAACAAAAGGCTGAGCCTGGTGGAAGCCAGAGGAACTTGCTTCCCAGCAGAGATTTCACACAGTTCTGAGACAATGATGGGTCAGATATGCGGGACCATATCTTGACCAGGACTGCTTTTTGAACACTTCTCGTTCTCTATTTAAACATAAATCTCATGCAAGGACTCCCAAAATGGACTTGGGGTCACTGGCCCCCTTTATTTGTTCCTCCTCCCAATGTAACCACACTGAACAGGTCCCCTTTCAATGCTCTTAGCTATGACTCGTCTCTTTTGCTGGTGTACTGCAAATGAGTGGCTGGGCCTGCCTTGTTGGATGGAGTGCCAGCTCTGGAAATTAGAGGGAGAAAGTCGAAACACCTCTGAAGAGGTGGCCCCGTCGTCTGTGCATTGGTGTTTCTTTTTCTCTGAATGCCTTGTTCCAAGGAGATCACAAGATTTTTAGGGTGGAAATTAAATCTGTTTTTTTTTTTTTTAATTTGGCTTTGTACCATAACAAAAATGTATTCAACTGTGTGTGTGCATGCACACTAGCACATGCACACGCATTCACGTGCTTATACCACTTAATTTTTTTGTCAACTTGAGACAAACTAGGGTCATCTGTGAAGAGGGAATCTCAGTTTAGAAAATGCCTCCCTCAGACTGTGCCATAGGCGAGTCTATGGGGCACTTTTCTTAACTGATGGCGGAAGTGAAAGGACCAAAGCCCACCACTAGCAATGTCACCCTTGGGAAGGTGGTCAAAGTAGGCTGAGCAAGACATGTAGTACAAGCCACAAAGCAAAGTTCCTTGATGGTCTCTGCTTCAGTTCCTGCCTCCATGTTCCTGTCCTAAGTTCCCTGGATGGTGGACTGTAAACTATTAACTGAAATAAACCTTTTTCTCCTGGGGTTGTTTTGGTCATGGTGTTTTTTATTTGTTTAATCACAACAATATGAAAGCAAACTAGGAAGAAAAACACATGCACACACACAGACACACATACACATATGTACACAGATACACAAATGCACACACATTCACACACATATACAGAGACACATACTAAGACATGCACGCAGATACAGATACACACAGAGACATGCATTCACAGAGACACACACAGACCACAGAGACAGACACGTATGTACATACAGAGACTTTCATACAGTCACAAACACACACAGAGACACATAGGGACACACATACATGCATATAGACACACAGATGCACATACACACAGACATAAACAACTATTTTTTTCTAGAGGCTACATGGAAAAGGTAAAATTGAACAGACTGGGGTGGGAAGCCCCCAGCAGGACATTACCAGTTGCACAAGTCAGATACCCTGAGCTGAGTGTTCATATAACACCGAGACAGGCAGAAAGGCCCCAGGTCGCGGCAGGAGGACCCTGGCTCTGGTTAAAGGCCTTGCCTAGGCCACTCTGCTTAGTGAGGATAACGAGTAATAAATGGAGTGTAATAATGATTGAGTGAAAATATGTTCTCCCACTCCGAGTTCAATATGACAGAAGACAGGCTTTGCTTCTAGTATTTATGCTACTGCTATGTGGAGCAGGGACCTGATTCAGGCCACATAAACCCAGAGGTTAGGCACAGGATTAAGGATCAGAATCAGACAGAAGGCAAACTTTGAGCGCAGGGAAACCAAGTTTCCTACAATTCAAAAGTTTAGCTGAGGGTGGGAGCTTCTAGGAAAGTATAAAGTCCTTAAAGCTCAAGATCCAGCACGTTCTAGAACATAAGTGACTAAGCACTAGCTAGGAGGCCTGATATGGAAGAGTCACTGCCGATTCATTATAATGTATTGTCAGCAGAGAAGTATTGAATACTTCTCAGAGTTCTGTGTGGAATGACCTCCAAATCGGTAATCTCTAGAAATCCCTCTCCTGTGTCCTGGAGGTTAGATCATTCAGATCCGATGTGAGCTCAGGTAAGAGCTCAGTGCCACTGCCTGGATGCCCCTTGGAAAACAAGGGCCATAAATTAGAGAGAAATTGATTCTCTGTGTTGTACCTTGGTCAAACAAACAATAACACTGCCAGACTTGTTTCATCTGCCAGTTCAGCTAACTTGAAAATACTACTATGACACCACTCACTCTTCAGTCACAGCACTGAGCTTAAGCCTTCTGGTCTACCCATTGTCCTTGTATGAATTTCCACAGCCACAAGCCATTGCTGGCCTTCACACACTAGGTGCTTTGTTATCATACCCTGCCTCTTGAGCCCATGCCCCCATTCCTGAGGGCTCAACTATGTACACAAGCAAGGCATGCAGACTTCCTCCCTTCCCCCACTGCCTCCACTAAGAACAAGGAGAGTCTCTGGGCCACCTGACTGCTTCAAAGTCCACCCTGTGCACAATATAGGTCACTGACAACATACCTGCCCACCAGTACTCCACATGGATTTTCCTTCCAAGAGCTGCTACTGCCCAAGATGCTCCTATGCATTTCTGTTTCTTTCTCCTGACAATCACTTGCTGTGAGAATCAGCCCTAGGTCTAGCTCTACTTCTTTCCAGAATCCCAGGTCTACCCCAGGGATCATCCTTTAGAATGGCCACTGTG